TTGGGGAAACGCCTCCTCAGCAACTCACAGCCGTCTGGATCTTCGGCAGAAGCGTCTCGCGGATCATGTGCGCGCGCGATCTCGCTGACATCTAACAGAAAGGGTAGGTTTTAGAAGTTCTGCCAGTCGAGAGCGTGCGGATCACCTCAGCGCACACGACGGAAACGTTCAGCCACGATCGCGCGCCCACCATCTCTGTCAAATCGCATGTCGGGCAAAGCGCGCGCGCGTCCGCCGCGCGCGCACGCCGACGTCTCTCCGGCACCGCGGCACGACCCACCGCCTCGGCACGGAGGTGTCCACGCACCTGAGGAAGCGCAGCGGGTTCTCCGCGAAATCCGCATGTCAGGATGTCTGAGCTGATGGGGGCGCATGCTTCCCCAGTGCCTTCGTCGCACAACCGATGTCGACCAGCATCCTCAGCGTCATCGTTGCTATCGTCTGCATCATCATCACCATCGCCGGCATCATCAACGCCACCGTCATCGCCGACGCCGTTTCGCTCGTCAAAGTTTTCAACGCGGACATTTCCCCATCATCATCACCCGAACCTCCGTCATAATCATCGCCAGCGTCATCGTTGCGCCGTCACGCCTTTAACGTCACTGTCAGCTTCATCACGAACACCATCGTCGTCGACATGTTTCCCACTACCATCGTCAACACCACCAGCGTCATCGTTAGATGGACGTTTGAGCGAGCAGTGGAGTTGATCGCGCCAAACAAATCACAAGCATACGTTACACCACATGGCTTGCACACCATAGATTGACAAGTATCCGTTGCACCGTATAGGCTGCAACATGTGGGTTGCACCATGGATAGCTTGCACCACAAAGGTTGTTCGCCGCAAGTGGACAACAATACTGGTTGGGCCCCCCGTTGCCACACGTTACCCGCCGCATGACTCAAAAATGATACCGGAGAAAAAACCCAATCAGATTGTTGTTGGGGCAATGGGGTTATATGGGCTATATGGCTATAGGGGTATAGTGATATAGGGCTATTGGGCTATAGGGGCTATAGAATCTCAGGGTTATAGGGCTATAGAGCTATAGGGCTATGGGGCTATTGGGCCCTAGAGCTATAGGGCTCTACGGCTATAGGGCCATAGTGCTATACGGCTGTAGGGCTGTAGGGCTATAGGGCTACTGGGCTATTGGGCACCCCCGGGCACCCGGGCACCCCCGGTCACCCGGGCACCCGGGCACCCGGGCCCGGTCACCGAAATCGGCCACGCACCTCTCCGGCCACCCGGGCACCGCCGGGCACCCGGGCACCCGGGCACCCGGGCCCGGCCTCCGAAATCGGCGACAAACCTCACCTAACCCTTTAATCCGCTAGGACCCCTACAGAGGCACGCTCTGATTGGGGAATATTCAATACAACCCGATTAAACGAATTATGTCTCCCCCTGCCCCCCTGCCCCATGACGCCCGAATGCCATTGAATCGCAGCCGCGTCACTGCGTGTTACCAGATCCTTTTTGAACGCGTTCGATTGCCAGCCAAAGGCGTTATGGAGCTATGTCTGCGGCTGGAAAGCGCAAGCCATGCATTGGCAGTCCCAGTGCTTCCCGGCATGCAATATGATTGGCATGGAAGACGAGAACGCGTGGCACACATCGGTTGGAAGTTGACAGTGGGGACGGGGAAACACATAATATGGAAAGTGCGCCAGTGGATCTCCCTGAATACACCAAAGGGGGGGGGGGTCCAGAACCCCCCCCCCCCCTCCCTCCTTCAAGGGGGGGGGGGTCGGACCCCCCCCCCCCCCTCCACCCCTTAATGGGGGGGGGTCCCGAACCCCCCCCCTCCCTCCTTTGAAGGGGGGGGGTGTTTCCTGCCCCCCCCCCACCCCCTCCCCCCCTTGACGCTTGAAAGGGGGGGGGGGGTTCGGACCCCCCTCCCCCTCGTGTAGGGAGTACGGAGTTGGGAGTAGGGAGTGGTGAGTAGTGAGTAGTGAGTTAGTGCGTAGTGAGTAGTGAGTATTGGGTAGTGAGTAGTAGTGAGTAGTGAGTATGAGTAGTGGGTAGTGATTGGCGAGTAGGGAGTAGGGAGTAGGGAGTGGGGAGTAGTGAGTATTGAAGTATTGAATGGTGAGTAATTAGTTTGTACTGATAAGTGAGTAGTGAGTGGCGAGTAGTGAGTTAGTTGTGAGTAGTGAGTAGCGAGCAGCGAGTAGTGAGTACTGAGTAAGGAGTAGGGAGTAATGAGTACTGGGTAGTGAGTAGTGGGTAGTGAGTAATGGGTGGCGAGTAGTGTTTAGTGAGTAGTGAGTTGTCGGTGTTGCGTAGTGAGTAGTGAGTAGTGAGTCGCGAGTAGTGAGTAGCGAGTAGTGAATTGTGAGTAGTGAATAGTGAGTACTGAGTAGTACGTAGTGCGTAGTGGGTAGTGCGTAGTGAGTAGTGATGAATAGTGCATAGAAAGTAGTGGGTGGTGGCAGTGGGTAGTGAGTAGTGAGTAGCGAGTTGTGAGTAGTGAGTAGTGAGTAGTGAGTAGAGTGTAATCAGTAGTGAGTAGTGGGTAGTGATTAGTGAGTAACGAGTAGGGAATAGCGAGTAGTGAGTAGTGGGTAGTGACTGCTGAGTAGGGAGTAGGGGGTAGTGAGCAGTGAGTAGTATGAAGTGGGTAGCGAATAGTGGGTAGTGAGTAGCGATGGGTGAGTAGTGGGTAGTGACTAGTGACTAGTGAGTTGTGACAAGTGACTAGAGACTATGTAGTGAGCAGGGAGCAGTAAGTAGTGAGTAGTGAATAGTGAGTAGCATGGAGTAAGTAGCGAGCATAAAGTAGCGAGTATGGGAGTAGCGAGTACTGAGTACTGTGAAGTCAGTATTGTGTAGGGCGTAGGGAGTAGCGAGTAGCGAGTAGTGGGTAGTGAGTAGTGATTTGTGGGCAATGAGTAGTTAGTAGTGAGTAGTGAGTAGTGAGTAGTGGGTAGTGGGTAGTGAGTAGTGATTATTGAGGAGTGAATAGGGAGTAGTGGGTAGTGCTTATTGAGTAGTGAGTATTGAGTAGTGGGTAGTGAGGGCTGAATAGTAAGTAGGGAGGAGGGAGTAGTGAGTAGGGAGTAGTGAGTAGCGAGTAGTGGGTGGTGGGTAGTGAGTAGTGGATAGTGAGTAGTGAGTCGTGAGTAGCGAATAGCGAGTAGTGAGTAGGGGGTAGTGAGTAGGGGGCTGGGGTTAGTGGTTAGGGGGCAGGGGGCCCCTCGTGACTCCCTTTGGGGCAGGGGTTAGTGGTTAGGGTTCGGATTCGGGGTTTGATTTCGGGTGAGGACTAGGGGTATGGGTGGCGGGGATCGGTTTCCGGCGTCAGGGGGCATCGTGGCGAAAGGGGGGGAGGGGGAGGGGGTCGGACCCCCCCCCTCTTTTGAAAGGGGGGAAGGGGGGGGGGGGCGCCGACGACGGGTCGTGGAAAGAGGAGGGGGGGGGGTCCCCGACGACGGGTCGTGGAAAGGGGGGGAGGGGGGGGGCGACGACGGATCGGGGAAGGGGGGGGAGGGGGGGGGGGTTCTTTCTTAACCCCCTCCCCCCTTGGGGAGATCCAGCGGCGCACCCTCCATAATATGCAATGCTGTCCGCATGCTTGCCAACGTGGAACTATAACAAAGACTCTTTGCACCTTAGGTGTGTCAGTTGCGTTGTAAAGTCTATGCGGTGCAAGCAACGTGTTGCGAACGATTCGTGGTGCAAGCTAAGTATGCTGGAATTCGCTGGGTGGGAATTGAAGTCGTCAATTCCACCGCTTGTGCAGACATCCCTCTTTCCAGCCTTAAGTTGTCGACGCAGCTCACCGGGCCATGCTCCCAAAGAGCGTACGGGCAGGTGGAACTCAGCCGCGCAAACAAGTCTGTCTTGCAAGTCGCGAGATGCTGGTGGCGACGGTGGCGCCCACGAGGTAACCGACGATGTCGGCAACAGTGGTGGTGACGCGAATTCCAATGGTGATGACAGTGGAGATCCGGTCTGCACAATCTCGGCAATGCCGTCGGTGACGGTGATGAAGCTGGTGGTGATGACCATGACGGTGGCAACGGTGACGTTTGCGATGATGATGATGATGATGACGACGATGACGATGATGATGGTGATCGTGATGGTGATGAGGCAGTGTTCGCGATCAGACGGTTGACGAGGGCCACGGCATCGACGGTGACGACGATGACGGTGGCGGTGATGATGACGACGATGGTGGTGATTATGGCATTGACGATGGTAAGGACGATGTTGGCGATGCTGATGCCGATTCTGGTGATGAGCGTGGTGAGAAATACGGGTGCGCAATACTACAAGAAAGCAGGCATATGTTGTTTTGAGCGATCAGTCGTCTGCGTTTGAACGAGCTCTATCCTCAAATATATCGAAGCGCCCATGCGTGTTGTGATCTCGTCACGCGCGCGTGTCCCGTGGCGTCGCGCGCACGTGGCCCCCACGGTATCATGCGGTGTGGAGTTGGTTCTTCGGGAGCATGCTGGATCAACGCGCATCAGCGGGTCCCGTTGCTGTTGCTCCAGGGGTACCAGCCAGGGGTGGACCTAAACGGTGCTTGGGCGATTTCGCGGGCCGTTTTCGTTTCGATTTCGTTTTGCGGTGAAGGCGGATTGGACACAAAACGAGGGAACACGAGACCAAAACGAAAACGAAAAACACCGTTTAGGTTCAGCCCTGGTACCAACCCGTTGTGTCATCATGTCGTCGGACGTCCCCAAAAACGGTGCGGGGACCACACCGTCGTGTGAGTCCGAGGGGATTCGGGGTGACCGCACGGTTTTGGGGTCGTTTGCCGGGGATGTCTCGGGCGGCTTGGGTCTCCGCACCCCAAACCGTGAGGGTCCTGACCATGCGGTGTGTGAGTGAGGCCTTTCGGGATTCGAGGTCGCCGAACGGTCTGTCACAGCACGGTCTGTCACCGCACCGTTTTGGGACCTCGGATGTCCGCACGGCAATTCGTTTGTGTGGTCGTGCAGTGACCGCATCAGCTCATTGTTCGTCCCGCTGCAAGGTGAATTACACTGCGCCGCCGGAGGACTGCTGCATGTTGTGAATCGAGAGTCTCTTCAGTGCATTGTGTGCCTCGGGGCTCGGGCTCATCATGGAGCAGGGGAGTCACATCCATGTCACACGTTTGTGGACGTGTTCTTGACGCTTCATCGAGCGTATAGAGGGGCTGCTCAGGCTAAGGTTTGCGATTGACTACGGTATGCTGTCAAGCATGAGCAGTTCAGTCATTATGGCGTTGGGTTCCCCGAGTTTGCCCGTGCCGTGTATCGGGAGAGAGCTACAGTTATCACGTAGCCCGACGACACACGACGCACGACTAGTAATTGCAAGTCGGTGTTATTTCGTGGTCGTTCTATCCGCCTATCCGTCCCATTCCTATTCTAGACGCTTCGCGTAACCCCTCTAGTTTGCTTCCTGACGGCGCGCGGCTCTTGCGCTTGCGCTCGCGAACATCAAGTAACCTCACCAGCCCATCCAGGAATGTGGAGAAGCATGCAGAGTAATAAAGGGCTGGGTACGCCGTCATACCCCAAGAGGGGGAGGATGGAGGAGGATTCGGAGGTGGAGCAAGAGGAGGAGGGGGGGGAGGAGAAGTGAGGAGAGGGGGAGGAGGAGGATGAGGAGGAGGAAGGAGGAGGAATAGGCGGATGAAGAGGAGGAGGAGGAGGAGGAGGAGGAGGAGGAGGAGGAGGAGGAGGAGGAGGAGGAGGAGGGGGGCGAGGGCGAGCAGAAAGGCCATATGATTCTTGGGTGTATCTCGGAGTCTCTTCGGATGTCTTCTGAGATTTCCTTGGGGTCCTCTTTGGGCGTCCTGGGGGTCTACAGGCAGTCCCGAAGACCTCTTGGGGCGTCTTGGGCGTCTCTTGGGGGCTTTTGGGTCCTCTTGGGGGGCCTCTTGGGAGCCCCTTGGGGGCCTAGCGGGGGCTCCTTGGGGGCCTCTTGGGGCCTCCAGTGCACCTCCTGGGGCCGCCGTGGGCCCCGCTTGGGAGCCTCGGGGTCGAGCTTGGGGCCATCTTCAAGGAGATCGATCCGAGGAGGGGCCTCCTTGATTCTCCTGCACAGCTGTGTTCCAGGGCTCGGATTTCTTCAGTTTCGCTCGTCGTCGTCGTTCGTTCGCTCGTTCGTCGTTCGTCTTCCCCCCCCACCCGGCCACAGAAGGAAGCTCATGGAGGAAGGATGCGAGAGCCTCCTGTCCTTCGCGGCTCCCTGGTGCAAGAGCCAGGGCACGCGTGCCACTTGTTCTACACTCAACGCGCCTAGTAAGGACGCGCGCCTTCATCTAGGATGCCCTTGCGTCCTTGCCTCTGTGGCCCGTCCTTTGCCGTTTTCACTGGTCGCCGCCGCCCAAAACAATCCCAACTTCAGCCTCCAAGGGTCTTGCGTCCTTACCACGCGTCCTTACTATACGTTTTGACTGTATACGCTCCCCGGGACCGCGCCAGGCCGTGCGCGGTCGCTCTCTCCCGCACCGCACCCGCGCGTCTTCATGGGCACCTCGGCGGACGTGCTCTCGGTGCCGAGCCGTGATGCCTCCCGCGCCAAGAGGAGGAGGAGGAGGAGGAGGAGGAGGAGGAGGAGGAGGGGGAGGAGGAGGAGGAGGAAGAGGAGGAGGAGGAGCAGGTGGAGGAGGAGGAGGACGAGGAGGAGGAGGAGGAGGAGGAGGAGGAGGAGGAGGAGTGGCTGCGTGGAGCCCAGTTCCGCTCTGAGCTGAGCCGCGGGCGCCGCTCTCTTCGCTGTCTCTTCCTCTGCTTCGGCGCGGCCCGCCCTGGCCTTGCCCGGCGTTCGGCCCGCTTCGCGAGCCCGCGTGCCAACAGCAACAAAGTAACCCCAGCAGCCCATCCAGAAACGATCCCCCGACGAGTGGCCCTCATCGGGGATGTGGAGGGGCATGCAGTGGACGAAAGGGCTGGGTAAGACGTCATACCTCAAGAGGAGGAGGATGGAGGAGGAATCGGAGGTGGAGCAGGAGGAGGAGAAGTGGGGAGAGGGGGGGATAGGCAGGAGGGAGGAAGAAGGAAGAAGGAGGAGGAGGAGGAAGACGATGAAGAGGGGGAGGAGGAGGCGGGCGAGCAGAAAGGCCAGATGCCTCTCGGATGCCTTTCGGTTGTCTTCTGAGAGTTTCTTGTGGGCGTCTTGGGGTGTCTCTTGGCATGCCCGGTGGCATCTTGGGGCGTCTTGGGTGTCTCTGGGGGGGCTAGTGGGGCCTCCCTGGGGGCGTTTCGGAGCCTCTCGGGGCCATCTTGGGGGTCTCTTGGGGCCTCCTGGGCATCTCTCAGGGCCGTTTTGGGGCAACCTTGGGAGCCTGCCTCGGGGGCCATCTTGGAGGAGATCGATCAAAGGAAGCGCCGTACTAAATTGTCCCCCCCCCAGGACATATACGTGTGGCCAAAACCTTGGTTCAATCAATGATGTATACCTTCCCGCCGAGGCCGCCTTGGACGCTCCAATTATTCGCGACCCCCCTCCCCGTCCAGATCCAAGGGGAGGGGGCGGGGGGAGGGGCAATCCCCTCCTCGAGTTGGAGGAAGGGGGATTGGAATAGGACACGCTCTAAACCACTCACGCCCTAAAGGGCTGGTGGGATTAGGCACCCCCCCGCCTCCAGAGGCCAACAGGTGGCCGAAACCGTTGTAAAATCAATGGTTGTGGCTTTCTCGCCGAGGCCTCTTGGCGCGTCTAGGGTGCCTCTGGGACGCCTCTGGGACGCCTCTTGGGGCATCTTGGGGGCCTCTTGGGGCCTCCTGGTGGCTTTTGGGGCCGTCTTGAAGCACCCTTGGGAGCCTCGGGGGCCATCTTGGGGACGTCTTGGAGAAGATCGATCAGATTAGGGGTGCTCTTCAAAACCCTAGTGACATCAGTGATGTTGGCCTTCTTGCCGAGGCCTCCTGGGGCGTCTTGGGTGCCTCTGGGGGGCCTCTTGGAGGTCTCTTGGGAGCCTCTTGGGGGCCTCTGGGGGCCTTCGTGGGGCAATCTTAGGAGCTTCGGAGGCCGTCGTTTGGCCATATTGAAGGTGCTTGGTCACAGAAGGAGGATTCCTCAGTTAGCCCACCAAGAGGCCAATGTGTGGCCAACACCTTACTGACATCAACCATTTTGGCTTCCTCGCCGAGGCCACCTTGGACGCTCCACCGCCTCGCGAAAGGGCCAGTCCAGACCTAGGAGGAGGGGGTAGGGGGAGAGGTTCAGACACCCTCCCCGCCAGCAAGCGCCCAGGCCTCAGCATGTTCAGAGGTCGCCATTGGATGGGCAGCTAATACCCCTGCCGGGGCGACGTGCGCCACGCGTGCCAGGCGCGCCACGCGCGTCAGGTCCGCCAGGCGCTCCTGTGGCCCAAGCGTGCCAGGCACTCCTGGTGCGTGAGGTGCGCCACGTGATCCACGTGAGCCATGTGTTCAGAGCCCCGAGCCCGAATTACCCCAGGCCCGAGCTACCCCGGATGATTCGAGCGTCCAGAGTCCCAAATCATCAGGGGTAATTCGGGTCAGGGCTAACTCGGGTTCGTTTTTCGGGAATCCAAGCCCGAGCTACCCCGGGCCCGAGTTGCTGCGGATAATTCGGGCGCCCAATGTGTGCCGCATGTTCCAGCCGCGCCAGGTGCGCTGCGTCCGGGGCGCGCGCAGAGTACGCCAGGTGCGCCTGCACACGCGGCATTGTCGGGCAGCGCGTCGGCCCCCGCCACCCTTGTCAAACACGCGTACGCAACCGCGGCCAGGTGGGCCCCTGCACACAGCCGGCAATAAGCCAGCGCCCCCGCCGTCCCGGTGAAAAACCCATGTGCAGTGATCGCGGGGTGCCCGCGCATGATCCATATGTAGTCTCGGCGTGCGTGTTGTATCGTTGTTTGAAGGGTTGCTGGCCCTGCACATGTTTCCCAACCATCCTGTGGTGTTGGGTCTTCGTTTTGAAAAGACGGTCCACGCGTTCTCCTTTCCTCTTCTCCTCCTCCCCCTCTTCTCTCCTCCTTGCGTTTCCTCCACCCAGTACAGCGCTTCGTGGTCCCAGAGGCAGCTCCACCGAAGGCCCCATCGACTGCGCTCCGCAGTGCCGCAGTGCCCTAAGGCCGGCAGTGCCGCAAGAGGAGGAGGAGGAGGAGGAGGAGGAGGAGGAGGAGGAGGAGGAGGACAGGGAAAACGTGCCATGGCTAAGCAGGCCGCCACCTTGTTTGCTCCCTCCGGGGTCGCTTCCCCCCCCGAGCCCCGCGTACGGGCGCCACTCGCCACCGCGCAGCCCGCCGCCGCTGGAAAAGCGCGACGCACCCCGCCTCGACAAGACACAGCCGTCCCCCGCCTCCCTCCCCCCCACCCCCTTGTGCCCCCCCTCCTCCTGCCCTTTTCCTCCTCCTCCTCCTCCTCCTCCTCCTCCTCCTGCCCTCCTGCCCCTCCTCCTCCTCCTCCTCCTCCTCCTCCTCCTCCTCCTCCTCCTCCTCCTCCAGAACCGTACTGGATCAGGTCGCCTTGCCGCCGGGCTGCGCCGCGCCGCGCCGCGCCTCCCGCCTCGCCTCCGATGCCGGGTTCGACCAAGGCGGCACGCGCCGCGGCGCCACTGGAGGCCTCGCGTGGGGCCCTGATGGCGGTCCACGCGGCCGCGGGCTTGGCCGCCGCAGGAGGGATGCGTGGCTCGGCACGCCTCCTGCGTGCGGCGGAGGGGCTCGTCCGCACGGCTGTGGCCGAGCTGGTCGGGCAGCCCACCCCTCCCGCCGAGGTCGGCGCGGGTCCCCAGGCGGTGCCGCCTCGGCGCCGTCGCCCGCGCGGCCGCGGAGGACGGATGGAGGTGGACTCGCGCTTCCAGCTGCAGGACGTCGTGGGGGAGAAGCCCCCGGGTGGCGGTGCGGCGGCGACGGCGGCGGTGGGTGTGGGGGCCCCCGCCGACGGCGGCGTGGTGGGTGCGGCGGCGGCGGCGGCGGCGGAGGCGGTGGTCCAGGAGGACATGAAGCTCCCCTCCGACGTCGACGACGACGAGTGGGCAGATGAGGTGCCCCCGAGGCGCACCCCGCACATCCTGCGGGATGGCGACCGCGTTCGTCTTCGAGATGGGCGCCAAGGGTCGGTGTACGGCGATCCCAATGACGGCGTCGACCCGCACGGCTTCGTGTGCGTCCTGGTCGAGAGCGGCCGCCGTGCGACGGTGTGCGAGGTCGCCTTCGAGGACGCGCAGCCCTTCGTGGACGGTGCTGCCGCTGGGGCGGCGGCGGAAGGCTGCAAGAAGGGCAAGGGCAAGAAGAAGCGGTAAGTCCGACGCGGTGCTCGTCGGCGGCTCCTTCGTGCTCCTCATCTGAGGAGGCGCCGAGCGCCGAGCTGGCGACGCCGCTGGCTCCCGCGCTGAGTGCCCGCGGCCGCGGGCGCTCGGGCGCGGCGGCCCCCGAAGGGGGCGACCTGCGACCGCATGAGTGTATTTCCCTTTCCCTTTCCTCCTCCTCCTCCTCCTCCTCCTCCTCCTCCTCCCCCTCCTCCCCTGGAACTCGAGACATGGGCGCCGTGCGCCCGGCCGACGCCTCAGGGGAGGCCCCAACGCCTGCCCGAGAAATTTGCGCGTCAAACGCTAAACCTCGTGATTGGTTGCATGCACGAACTTCTGGGCTTCCTCCTCCCCTGCCTGCTGTTCCCCCCCTCCTCGGCGAATTGGCAGCGGTGACGGCGGCGGCGTTCGCGGCCACAGCGGCCACGGCGGCATTCAGGCGACGCACGGCGACGGACGACCGTGACCACGACTCCCGTAGTGTTGGGCGGCGTGCAGCAGGATCGCGTCGAATGCGGCGGGAGACGCGACCACGGCAACGACGAGCAGCACGTCGGACGGGCACGACCACGAGCGTGGCCGCGGCCGCGACGGCGGCGGCGGCGGCGGCCCCCTGCTGTGCCGCAGGACCCCTGGCTGAAGCACACGAGGCCGCGCTCGGTCCACTACACGCGTCTCCGCTCGCGAGGGGCGTGCGCTCGTCGCTCGTCTCTTGCTGTTCGCCGCTCGTGTCTCATCGATCACCGTTCGCATCTCATCGTTCGTCGTCGTCTCTCGCCGTTCGTCGTCGTCGTTCGCCGTTCACTTCTCGTCGTCCGCCGTCCGTTGTCGTCGTGCGTCGTCGTCGTGCGTCGTCGTCGTCGTCTCTCGTCGTTTCGTCGGTCGTTGTTTCGTCGATCGCTGTCGTCGTCCTTCGTTGTCGTCGTCGTTTGCCGTTCGTCTATCACCCTTCTCCCCTCGTCGTCGTTCGTGATTCCGTCGATCGCTGTCGTCGCGACCTCCGTTCCCCCCTCGCCGTCGTCGCCTGTCGCTCGTCCCCATCCGACCCCTCGTCGCGGACAAGAGCATCGAAGGCCAGCCTTCTCTCTCGATCTGTCTGTCCCCCTCGGGAGAGGCCTCCGATTTCGGCCCTCGGGGACCGCTCACCGAGCATCGACCCTGGGCGGAACAGACAAGCGGGGCCCCGAGGCCGAGGCCCGGCCGGGGCCCGCAATGCAGGATTCAGTGCGGTCCCTTCCATGCGACTCGATTCGATTTCGATGGATTCCGGTTCGGTTTCGATCCGACTTCGGGTTCCGATCTGGGCTCCAATTTCTCAACGGGGGCCTCTTAGCCCGCTAATTTCGGCCGATTCGGCTGCTCCCGGCTTGGCTGCCGATTTCCGCCGATCCGATGAGTTTCGGTCGGCGATCCGATGTGTCGATGCGATGCTGGGCTATACTGCCCGTGCAAGTCTCGCAGGCTCTCGGAGTCGCCGCCGTCGTTTCTCGCAGGAGGTCTCCGAGTCTCGGACTTCGAGATGTTCGATCCTCTCGCCGTCGCCCCAGACACCCGACGATGCGATGTTTGTCCATCCGTGGCCCCAAAGGTCCGAAGCCCCAACCCCTTCCCCTAGGGGTAGTTTAGTCCCGAGGAGGAGGAGGAGGAGGAGGAAGAGGAGGACGAGGAGGAGGAAGAGGAGGAGGAGGAGGAGGAGGAGGAGGAGGAGGAGGAGGAGGAGGATGGAGAGGATACTATGGAGGATCCATTTCTGGAGGCCCCAGGGGCCGAACAAAAACAGCGAGGCAGGACGCCGGGACCGAAGAGAAGGCGCACCGTCGGAGGTTTTGGGCCGTCGCTCTGGCGGCGCGCCGATGGGGGAAGCGAGAGGTACAGGGCTCGTTTAGACTCCTCCGATTCGATTTCGCCTCGATTTCGCCTCGATTCCTCCGATTCGATTCCGCCTCGATTTCGCTTCGATTTCGCCTCGATTTGATTCCGCTGCGCTCCGAGGCCGATGCGATTCGACCTCGGCTTCCGCTGTGTGGGGCCGGCTGTTTCCCTCCCAGGGTGCAGCCCCGCTGCTCTGCCGGTGCCCGCCGGCTCGGCTCCTCCCGACCTGGCCGCCGCTCTCCGCTGGTCCGATTCCTTCAGGAGGGAGAAAAAACACACACACACACACACACACACACACACACCGACACAGTTATACGTCGACTCCCCCGAAAATGTGGGAGAATATGGGCAGTGGGGGGGACAACAGAAACCCAGAAAATATGGGAACATATGGGGAAGCATTTTAGCAGTGTGTATTTTTTGGTGTGTCCCAGGGCCCCTTCACATCGATGCTGTCCGATGCCGGGCTCTCCTGGAGGTGGCCGGCCTGCGCCCCGAGGAGCGGCGGGGCCGCTCACGGGGGCGCCAGCGCCCACGGCGAGGGGCCGCCCGGAGGCGTCGCCGCGGGGGGCTTCTGGCGGGCGCCTCGGGAGGCGCGAGGGCTGCGGTCCTTGGCATCGCTCGGACGTGTGCATTTTTTCTCGGCGAGAACCATCGAGGACCATCCTGGACCTTCGAACAAAGAAAAACACGCACGAAACCGAACAATGCACGGGAAATGGACGTCCGAGCGACGGCAAGTGTCAGGAGGGACAAAAAACACCACATAGACACAATTAATCGCCGATCCCTAGGAAACTATGGGAAGATATGGGAAGTGGGGGGGAAAACAAACACCTAGAGAATATTGGAAAATATGGGACATCCTGTTATTTGTGTGTGTGTATTCATTTGTGTGTTCCAGGGCCCCTTCATGCTGGGAGGCCCCGGCGCCTTCCCGAGGAGGCCTGCCCTCCGCAGGTGGCACCCAGACGCTCCAGGCTGAAGTCGGGCCTGTCCCTCTGCAGGAGGGATGTTCAAGAACAGTCAGAAAATAGCATGGGGACGATTTTCCAATTTTTTGTTACCATCCGGGAGTATGTATGGACAATTTGTTTTATGTCTCGTCCAAAATCAGCCTGTAGGGGGACATGCCCAACCTAATTCTAGGTCTCCCAGATGAGGTCGGGTTAGATGGGGTTGGAGGATCGCGTCGCATCGGCGATGCATCGGCGATGTATCGGCGATGCGGCTCGATGTGGGGCCCAATGTTCTCCACGCCGACGTGGCCGATGCATCGCCGACGCCGCCAGCGCATCGCCGAGGCATCGCCGATGCAGCGGCGATGCATCGTCGATGCATCGGCGATGCGGCGATATCCTCCGACCCCATCTACTCGTAAGTCGGGCCTGTCCCTCTACAGGAGGAATATTCAAAAATAGTCGAACAATTGTCAGGGGACGAGTTTTTGACCATTTTTGACTACTCTGGGGCAGTTGTTGATTACATCGATGTGTCACCCAAAGTCCGCCTGTAGAAGGACACGCCCGACCCAAATCTACGACTCCGACCCCACCGTCGAGGCCTCTAGTGATCTCTTTGCCCCTCGTGGGTCGCCGTCTCTGCAGAGGCCCTCGAGGCCTTAGTGGGCCCTGGAAACGACAGGGCCGTTTTTGTTACCGGTTCCGTTTTGCCGTTTTTTTCGCCGGTCCCGACGCCGTTTTGTTTCCGGTTCCGTCGCCGTTTTTGGACCGGTTCCGGCTCCGGTTCCAATCTTGGGGCCGTCTTTGTGGCCGTTTCCGGCCGCCGTTTTTGTTGCCTTCCAGTTTCAAGGAACCTTTTTTCTCGATGATCGTTTCGGGGACCTTCCTGGAGCCCACCTAATGGATCTGTTCGACCCCAGTTCGACTCAAGTTCGACTCAGGTTCGACTCAAGTTCGACTCAGGTTCGACTCAGGTTCGACCCAGGGTCGACCCAACTCGACTGACGTTCGACGCAGCTTCGACGCACGAGTGGAGCGAGTCGCTCCAGGAAGGTCCCCAGAACGAGCATCCAATTTTTGTGGAAACGGTGAAAAAACGGCCCTGCCGTTCCCGGGGCCAGGGGCCCTCGATGGCCGCCGCCGCGGCTTCCCCCCCGGCGGGCAGGTTCTCGGAGTGCTTCCACGAGCGGCCCCTGCAGGAGCACGCGAGGAGAGCCGCCGCGGCCCTGCCCGGCCTCTCTTCCTCCCCAGACCCCCTCGCGTCGTGAAAAAAATCACGACGGAAGGTTTTTCTTTATTTTCCCCCTCTGGAGGTCCTCACCGGGCCGCGGGAGCGTCAAAAAACGACTCAGGATGAAAAACCGGTCCCCGGGAAAGGGTCCAGACTTCTGGGGGTCGACGTCATGAAAAAATCACGGCGTCGGGGGTCTGGGTCTGTGCCTCTCGCGCTCGTGGCTTCCCGGATAGGGTCGGAGGCCAGTCAACCCGGGGTAGAAATCGGGGGCGGAAAAGAGGGGGGTGATGACTAGGGGGGGGGGGGATATCATGGCGTGGGCCATGATCTTTCCCCAGATTTCATGGCGCCTCTTCTCATTTCATTACGTCCCTGGCCCCCCCGCTGGGCCGCGCACATGCCGCCGGTCCTGATTTGCACCCGAAGAAAGGATGGACATCTTTCCCAAGGGTACCCTTGCATCCGTTGCCTCCTCGGTCCCTCCTCGACCACCTTCGTTGGCCGTGCTCCGCTCGAGGAGCCTCGAAGTGGGCGTCCAAGGCCCTTTGCATCCTCGCCGCGCATCCCTCTGATACGGGCCGGCTGCATATGGGGTCGGGGGAGCACGCGCATCGCCGATGCAGCGCCGATGCGGCTGGATTGCGAGCCCGATGTGCTTCACGCTGGCGTCGCCGATGCATCGGCGATGCGGCGCG